CCACGTGGAGAGAGAGAGATATAGGGGGAATCGATCCCGATCCGATAAAGGCGCGATTGGGAAAGGGCGTTTTGTTGCCGGCTCTCACGCGCGATCCACCCTTCGCCGTGGTAACATAATGATCATTCGATACGGAACCGCGATCTAACTTCGCCTGCTTCGGATGACGTGGGAGATGTGTCATGTAATGATCGAACGTTATTCGCCATCGACGATTCGAAGGATCGTTCAGAGTCGCGCTTTGAAATATCAATATTCGCCAATATATTGCAATGACTTTACTAAACTTGACAGCGTAGAGCAAAAGCGAGATGGTGAATGGAGATTATTTCGTCTATCAAGATAGAGCATTTGAATATAAGATATGTCGCGCGACAAATTGTTACCGTAAAGTTTTCTCTTAACAATGTATAAAGGAGATAAAGGCACAATATACTTTTTTTTCTTACTTGTCACAATAGACGTTAGTTTTAAGCACTTTTTTGCGTAAAATATATATTGCGAGCTAATCCATTGATCAATTCTTATTCCAAACATCGATTACCTCGGAACTATCGAATAAGAAATTTAAAGAAACTTAAAAGAAGTTACTCGAAGTAAGAAAGTTATTCGTCTTTTAAGATTGATTAATCACCATCGTAAATTTCAACTAATTACTTGGATGTCCGTTACAGCTATATTTTCGTGATGGATGTTGTCACAGAGCGTATACATCCCCGCTATGGCTATGGTGTCTCTTGGGTGATTATGCAAATGATAAAAGAACAGGTCGCTGACCATAACCGCGTATGTAAAAATAATTTTTTTCTTCAACTCACTTGACATAGATAATTCATACATTTACTATGCTTACTATAATTTAGGAACAAATATAACTTAAATATCTTAATTTATTATTTTACTTCTATATTAATATTCTTTTACATCAAGATAGAAAAAATTTACAGTAAAGTGAAAAAATTTTTTTAAATATAATAATAATATAAATAATATAAAAATAAAAGAATACTGTACAAGTAAAATTCTGATAATTATTTTAATTTGTATAATTACAATATATTTTTTAACGTTTACTGTGTAAACATGCATCGATTCTTGAAAATTATCATTTTTTCCGAATCTCAATGGATATCATTCGTGTGATATGGGATAAAGTTATAAAACAATGTACGTAAAATGACGACCGGATGGTGAAGGAGTCGAGGGTTTTATCGAATATTTTGAGTGATTTATGAACCTGGTCACGCCTCCTCGTTTTCACTTTTGTACGTGCACACACCGCGCAATTAGTAATCAGCCCTGTAATTATGATAACGTTAAAACAGTTAATTGTTTAAAAGATTTAAGAGACGAACATGAATCTAGATTAAGCGCCTTGATTTACAATAAACTGTTTTAGAAGAAAATTTTCCTAAACATAAGAATTCTTTTAGAGCAGGTTTCTCTCTAAATAAATTCAATAATTTTCTTCAGCAACATTATATTGAATTTCTTCATCGTCACAGTGTTTAATAAATAAAAATAACAATTGAATTACTATTTCAATTAAATAATTAAACAAAGTACTATAAGATTTATTTAAAATTTAATTATTATTTATTACACCAAAATAATATACATTTAATATATATTATTTAAATGCACGTTTAAATGCACAATAATATAATTCAATTTTGATAAATATTTGCAAAACGTCTCTCCAAATTAATTAAAAAGACACGTTTCTAAAATCCAATACTAATCTTACAGATTATTTCGTGTCGAATAAATAAATACACAAGATCTCGCACTCTGGCCAGTCAAGTTTCAAATAAATTATGCGGCGGATCGAAGCGTTTTTCTTTGTGAGTCTCTCATACCGTGACTTCTCTCAACGGGGTGTGCCCTCGTGAGAAATTCGGGAGAAATCTGTATCCGACCACCCATCGCGGCCGTGGCGAGGAAGGCGAATTAAGTCACAATGCATCCGTAAGATTTAGAAATGGCGGAAGAATGGACGAGATCCTAGATCGCCGCTGTTCTCGCCCTCGTCCAGGTATCGTTCCGCGATCGTTTTCATTAAAAAGAAGTTCTATCCTATATAAATTTGACCCGTGCTACTAGCCCGAATATAATCAGAGGCGCACGTGTGCAACGGCCTGCTGGATGATTTAATTCCCCCACAACGTAATTATTAATGTACCCTCTTGCGATGTTTCGCTTTAAAAGGATTAATATCGATATAAAGTAAGGAGCAAAAAAATAAAAAATATATATAATACAATTATTATACGTACTGAGGCGATGAATTTCAATAATTTTAATATTTTATTTCTAAATATTTTTGCAATTGATATATTCTATATACGTTTTGTCAATTGACAATGTCAATTTAACATGTATAGGAATCGTTGCCGAGACGTGCATGATTGTCTACAAGAATACAGCAGCGGAGAGAGAAAACTTTTAATTTACAACTTATTAAAAATCTCTCAATTCTGCAATGAGTTCCTCGCTCGTTCGATTAACTGTCTATGCGAAGTCTTTGTCCCCGATTGCCGTGCTGTGATTTATGGAGACGCATTGACAACGACGCGACGTGTATGTACATCGACTAAGAGATCTGTCAATAAACTCGGCAACGGTACATCAATGACCCCCGGAACCCCGCAAAACGCTGGCGTGACAAAGTACACGGATGTGCACGCGAAAAATTCCGTACATCTCCTGACGATGAAAATTTTGAAATTAATCGTAAATTGAAAAAACAAAATATGCCATAATAAATCTCCCTCAACGTACTAAAATATATATTTACTAAAATGTATTTCTGCATTTTTCTAAATAATTATCTTTCAGATGCATTTGGATAGACGAAATGTCTCAAATAATAAATAAAATAGTATATCCACGTGTGTAACGAAACTGCATCGAGAAGCGAGCTTGCGAGAATAACAATAAATGTTAAGAATTCATCCATCGTCCATTTTCGTCCGTCCCGAGAGACGCTCCATTCGGAATGCGATAAAGCAGCCGCCTGCAGAAAAACAGAGTCGTAAACGCGCAGCGATAAAAAGAAATAGTATAGTAAATTAAAGACAATGTTTCGTTGACGCCCATCGCGCACGAAATTAGGTGTCAAATGGCACGATCAATTCCGTTGCGGGATACACGAAAATCGTCCATGATAATTCAATAGCCATCGTTTTCCCCGAGAGAGGTATATCTCTATCTCAATCTCAAAGAAAGTAATTCAAATCGATACGAACAACGTGATGAAGACAAAAAACGACGAAGACAATATTCACACATCATTATTGTTATAATTATAATTCAAAATTCAAATTCGTTTTATATGCTTAAATCATTTTTTTTTTTTAATTAGAATTATATCTGTAATAGACAAAGAAAAGAGACTTAGAGTCAATTCTAAAAAAAGTTTGATGCTGTAAATCGCAGAAACATCGAAATCTCTATCAATCAACCGTCACGCCATAGAATTCACGTAATGATTCGCGTTCTGCTCTATTATCTTCCTCAAAGTAATCATCGATCTCCTCGATTTCATTCTTCTAGGTGGTCTTCTACGGTTCCCTAATTTCCCCACGGGAAATTCACCGAGAGAATTCTGGAAAGGCGCACAATGCAACGATAGCGCATTCGAGTCATTGAGATCGGCCGACAGTCACACTAATTTCGTGTTAGGACAAAAAAGGAGGGGGGAGAAAGAGGGGGAGCACCTAAGGTTGCCCGTTTCTATTGTCATTTATGGAAGTAGGAAGTTCATTATACGACCGAACTCGCCGACGATATTCCGCCGACACGCTCACAATGAGCTGGCGAAGCTACCGAATGGCATCGCGCGCGATGGCTTTCTTCCGCGGGAAAAGGAAGAAAGAAGAGATGGAAACGAGACGCTGAAAGACACTTTCCAGCCAAGTCATCCCAATCACGAGCACGCGGACGAGCAATGCCGCCAATCGCGCGTCGTGATCGTGCACGAATCGAATCGCCGTTGCGGTGAAAATTAAACAATCTCGCAGTCGCTTAGGCTGCGATTGTCGAACGATTAAAACTCAGCGCGAGAGATATGTCTGAGAGATATTAAAATACACTTCCGAGAATATTTTTACTGAGACAGTGTATAAGACTTGCAAATTTTATTTATTTAACGAAAACACAACAACGAAAACAAATGAAACATATAAAATTTTCATTAGTAATCTATCTATTGTAAAAACAAAATATAAAACAGTAAAAAGTTGAACTTTTCAAATAAAATATAAAAATATTGATTTTAATTAAAAAATTATAGTTTGACTTATTATCTATCTTTATCTAGATTTTAATATTTACTGTAATGATTGTACAGATAGAAAAATCAAATTTAATCGACTTTAGTAAAACCGATCAGCGGATAAGCTTTAAAAAAAATAAAAAAAAACAACAATAGCAAACAATAGCAAAAAAAAAGCGGAAGGATCGATAGATCCGATAGGATATACACTTCCTTTACTGCTTAATAACGACAGGATTAATCTATCGAAGCGATTGAAAGAAGGGATCAAAATCTTAAGGTCTTAATATTTGATGATTGACACATAACAATTAGACACCTGTTCTTTGATCAACACATGGATCAACCCATCCTTTTTTTCACTATCCCATTTTCTAATATACTCATCGATAAACTTCCTGTCCTCGGCGACTCCTCCCACATTTCATCGTCCTTCCTCTCTTCCTTTCCAATCTCTTACGAAGATCCGGTAAGAATCTTAGTGTTCCCACACAACCCTTGTAGGAATATAATTTTTTATTCGACGATTTGACATCTGGGGAAGTCTTAAAAAAATTGTCATAGTCATCAATGAAGATTTTTTAAAACGAGACCAAGAAACAAGATCTGTTTGAAAATCTAGATAAATCAGATTGTAAAAAAACACAAGGTTTGATCAATCATAAAACTCAATATGTTTACATAGTTTATATTTTACAATTTGATCGATTTAAATAACGGTATGAATATAAATGTTAAATTTCTTACAGAGGAAATTTCTTGCAGAATGAACGAGAGGATGTCCACGTCATTTGACGTGCGGATCTCGAGGAATCGTTGAGAGAAAGGTAGAGAGAATAAGACGCGCGCATGCATAAAATCTCCTTTTAAATCAAAGACCATGCTCACGAAGGGGACACTCACATCATCAGCGGGGTCGAAGAGACGGGACGCGACGGTCAGGAAGAGACGAAGGAGGGAGGAGCATAAAATCTGGATAACACAAAAGGAGCGAACAGAGGGGCCGCCGGGTGCGTATCGCTTTGAGTTGCGTGTAAAAATTACCGCGAGATATACGACGCCGTTACCAGGATTGGAGCTAATTACCACCCAGAAGCGACGTCCGCGCGTATCCCGCGCGATAATAGTGAATCTGCGACGTTAGCTGACCTCCTATTGGCGACCATAGAATCCGACCTCGGCGTCAACCCCGTCGATTTATTCGCCTGTAACGAGATAAAAAGAGAAAACCGCGGAGGGAGACGCGCGGGGACAAGAAGAGATGGGAAAGGGGAGGAGGAGGGAGGGTGCTGAAGGTAATATTCACCGTTCGTCTACCCCTCATCGTCGTCGTCGTCGTCGTCGTCGTCGTCGTCGTCGTCGTCATTGTCGTATGTCGTCGTCATTTATCGACGGCGACACGACGCTTCGCGCGATGCCCGATCGAGAAGCCATCGGCGGATGCGTCACTCATGCCGCCTCATCGATTATCCGCAAGTCGAATCTCGCCTCCTTCATCCGCGTCTCTCTGGGGCGACGCAAAAGGAAACGCTTCGACGGATCGGCGATTAGGGATAATCGCGCGCCGAGTGCCATTCGATTTGTTCGTGCGCGCGCGAGTCTCGTGAATCGTCGCGCGCGATACCAATCGCGTATTTATCGCTGAATAAGACCCGCGACGGTTCTCAATCCGTGGACGCATTGAGCTCTCTTACGTGCCTTATGCCTCTTATTTAATTATCATTCACGCAAGCAAAATAAACGCCGTACGACTATTAAGTATATGGAATATCTTAAATTGAATTTTCAGTTATGTTGTTCGAATAATTACTAGAGTAACTCGAGAGAAAATAGCGACAAGCTCTTATAAATGAAACACATCAATCACGAAATAAAATTATGTTTCTTTACGATAACTTTATGATAAATTAATTTGAGATACTCCGCGATATAACCCTTCGTGATAAAGAAAATATAGGACTCACCGATAACTGGTCGTTCCCGACGTGGTCCTATACGTACAAGGTTGCGATGCTACCCTATAAAAAAACATAGAATTATGTTATTATTGTAACGCTTTCAAATGAAACAACATGAAAAAAAGATAAAGAACAAGCGGTGATGCTTGCTACAATGTTTAACAACAAAATATTAAAAAAGAATAATTATTGTATTTCTATGTAATTAATACCTTGTATTACGCAAAAGATGTTTGACAATAAGATGATCATGTACGCATAGAGATTAATAAGGTGAAAGAGAAAATGAAAACTAGAGAAATACGCGAGACAACAGCAGAGGAAGAAAAGAGAGATTTCTATTTTCGTGAATAAAGCGTGAATTGTCGTAGGCTGCGACCTTCGCGGAAGTCGGAAGGAATATGAGCGTGAGACGTGCGTAGGTAGGCGACTCAGCGCGCGCAACTTACGCACCCCACCCCTCTTTGTTTACATCTCGCTCCACGTGTTTAGCGCCTCGATTGCTTTGTATATATCTCGCGCGCGCTACTTGCTCACAACAATTCCGAATACGTTAGGTCCGTTCTTTTCAGCTAAACTTCTTGTACAGTTTATCTTTTCTCTTTTTCTCTCTAACGTAGACAGAAAAGGAAGAAAGACGAACCGTGTAAAAAGTTGAGCCGAAAAGAACAGATCTATTCTTGTGATGAAAGAAGAACAATTGTGACGACACACAGTCACAAGATGAAATACATTATCTTGGTATCGACAGATGCGTATTCGCTCGTAATCACACTTCGTAGTTTCTTATAACATGAGTTCAGAGTGATCGACATATGTCAAGTAACGAGGAGACGGAGCACGACTATCGTATGTAGTTGTTAAAGCGCAAAATAATTAATCATCTTTTCTTCTGCGCGCTCGATGCAATGTATTTGTACAATGTATTTGTAAATGTCGGTAGATTCTTTTGCGAATTAAAAGTACAATACGCCGCTATCGCATTAAATCTCGCAATCAATTATAATAATTTGTGGCTTTGTCGTTTGCGGTGCTTTGTTTCGAAATGGAATTTATCTCAAGCATGTGAAAATGGTTGGTGTGATTTTATAACGATCTTATAACGATCTTATAACGACAATATATATTGATAAATTGTACAAAATAATTCAAATTTATAATAAATATTTATAAATAGATACGAAACTGCGTTAAAAAAAGTTGAAAAATACTCAATATCTTTTGTCCCAAATATTTTGTTCTTAATAAAAGAATAGAAAGAGGATTTAACTCTACTATTCTATTCGAATTTATTATATGGTTTTATTATATTATATGGTTTTATCATCTGGATTGATATGATTAAAAATCTTTAAAAATAAAAAAAGATAATTTTTACAGAAAAGCAATCTTAATTAACAGACAAAATTATCTAATGTAACAAAATAGTTTTTAGTATTAACAAAAAAAATATATTCTAAGTTAAAGATTCAAATGAAATAGCAAATTTAATCATAAAAATTCTTTGTATAAGAAATAAAAAATCACGCATTATTTTGGTTTTGATAGGAAAAGAAGAATGGATCATTTAAATAATAAGAAAAAACTTTCTGCAATGCTAAATTTTATTATCCTAAATCCATGGAATTCTCAGTTGTGCGAGTAATTTAATAAAATGTATACAGTGCTAAGTTAAATCTAATCATTTTTGTCTCGCAATGAACAGACTTCAGTATTCATGGAAGACCTACAAAATAAATATGAAAGATTAATCTTCGATCATCATGTTTTTTTAATAATGATTTTCTTAATAATAAAATATCACATTTTGAATGATTTGTAAATTATGATAATTGCGTTTATATTTTTCATTCTTAAAATGTTGTCGTGATTTATTAAACATCTAAAAATGGATTCGATTCGTTAAATTCGTCTTATTAAATTTTGTTATTCATGAAAAATGCCAAAAAATGTTTATCAAAAAATAACGGACATTATTGATTTTATACGAAATCTGACTGGCGATTGGCGATATAATTCACAAGAATATTTCGCAAGATCGATATTAAAATTCACATCAAGTAAGAACAAAAGACTTCAATTAAATATTATTAATCTAATAATAGATTATAATTTGAAAAATATCTACCAAACTCTAGTTATCCCTGTTGTCCTTGCCCGTATTGTCCTTGTCCTTGTTGTCCCTGTTGTCCCTGTGGTCCCCCCTGTGGTGGTCCCCCCTGTGGTGGTCTCCCCTGTGGTGGTGGTCCCGGTGGTTGGTTTTGTGCAGCACGTTTTACTAAAGAGTGAATTCGAGCCGTTTCGCCCATTGCACTCCCTGGTCCCAGCCACATCTTTAATGGAACACGATTTGAAATGTCAAACTGCAGATTATCCAAAAAAAATACGAAAAAAAATTCACATCTATGTTGAAGATTTGAAGATTTGAATTAAAATTGTCAAATTATCATGTCACAATTTTTCATATAAAATGTTCATAGTTGTGCATCTTACTTACTTGAGGTCCAATTTGATCGTCTTCTGAATCGGCGAACTAAAAAGATAGTTAAACTTTTTATTGAATCATATTAGAAGTCGATTAATGATATCAATAACATTAATTACGTGACTTGAAATAATCGATATTATTTAGCGAGTTGTGAAATTGATCGAATGTTTCGAATGGCTCCAAAAAGGATCTTGCTCATTTAAAAAAAGAATATGTTATTTATATTCTCGGATGTTCGATAGAACTAAAGTTATAAAAAGTTTGTTTTTGTATATGTATTTTCCTTTCTTTCTCTATTTTCACACATCGAAAAAATATATGTTACATTTTTTAAATATATAATCAATTATGTATTCTGAAAAAGGCTTTAATCTTTAAGATGCATTAAGATTCATTATCGATTATTAAAATACGAGTTCATATATTTAATTTATATCTATATTAATACGGTCTATGTAATTAACACATTCATTTTGTGACTATAAATGAGCTATTATCGACTTCTTACCACCGCCACGCAAAGCAACGCAACAAATAACAGCTTAATCATCATGGTTAGCTTGGTTCACAAACGGTTGGTATACTAGTTAGATCAACGTGGGCATTCTTCGCTTTTATATACATCATAATTTGTCAAGTTTACGTCACAAGTCATAAGAAAATAACAGGTCGACATGTACCTTCACTATGACATAATACGATTTCCGATAATTATTGCATCTTTTATTTCCGTAATTCGCGACAGAAGTTAATGCGCAAAATTGTCAACAAGTTAAACATAGTACAATTATAATGTCTTGCTTCTACGACAATTTGCATATTTTTTACGAAAAAAGTAATCTTGTCGCCAGATCTTTTTGCTCGCTATTTGACATAATGAGCTTTTTCATCATCATTTATTATTTCCACCTACCGAAAATATGACATTTGCATAGAAAAAATTAGCCTTAAATCAAGATTATATATATTCTCATATATAAACAATAATATTATAAACTTGATATAAAAGATTTTTAATCTTCAGAATTAAGCACCAGTAATACTTGCATACAAAATCAAATCAAGATTAAAATTAAAAATATTTAAAATTTAAAAATTTTAATTTAATTTTAAAAAGATTATAATATTTTTGCTTTTATATGAGAATGTTTTTCTTGATTTAAAACTAATTTTTTTCTATATGAGAATGTCTTTTTAAAATGCTCATATATCGTATACGCGTTTAGCGATGTTTAATTATTTCCACAAGATTCCTAGATTAGGATTAAATATCGTTTCTTTTGCAAGTTGAATATTCTATAATTTTTTATGAATCGATAACAGAAATTTTGTTATTTTATTTTAGTTTTGATAACGCCTTAGTTGTAATAAGCAGCAACTATAAATGTCACATTTTGTGACATAACGCAAGGTCTTGCAATTTCAACGTAATTAATCTTGTGGTGACATTAACTATTTAATTGTAATTATTGCTAATTGTTAGACTAACACCACTTAAAGATGTTTCTTAAACGTATATAACAAGGTTTCTTAAACGTATAAAACGGAATTTTTTGTTCACAGGCCAGCCATAACGTTTATGTTTCTGAACAATATATATTCAATATTTGAAGAGCATGCTTGTACTTTCAAGAGGCGGTCATATTTGTAACGTAAACACATCATTGCAAAGACATACATTATTTTTCTGCAAATTTTCATATCGCTTTAAAGTTAGTTGAAACTAACGAAATAGTCTCGCCCCATCCTAACATAAAATATTACTAATAGAATACGTTAAATGTATTAAATATCTTTTCATTTTTCTTAATGTTATATAATTATATATAAAATGTTAAGTAAAAACAAGAAAATTGTCATACCAGCTATGTCGTGGCCTTATGCATTCTGTCGGTTCCTCCACCACTCGCAAAACACAACACAACACAATGAGAGAATCAAGCGCAATTAATTAAAATATTCATTGTTTCACTCTCGATGTTGAATAACATACTCACGAAGAACTTGGTCTATTTTCATCAATGTAGACTAACTTTTATCTCGATTAACTCACTTTTTATTTTTTAAGTTCTAAAAATTAGTAGAAAAAGATGAAAGTAAATTAAAATTAATATACTCAAGAATAATGGCGACACAAAATTACGACGCACTTGTCCGTCAGTTGTATTTGGCACTCCCGAAATTTGATCGCATACACTTTGAACAAATGATTAGTGCGAGACACGGGACATTACGATCAATTTATTCAATCCATCTCTCGATTCCTTGCAAATCGCTACTTTTATATATTTATCCGAGGAGGCAGCTTCACACTTATGCCGCACAGTCGCATCGATCGCTTATCGGCTAATTACTGTCACGCGCCTCGATTAATCTAGCGTTTGACGTTCGCGCCGCTCGACCGCGCACGCGAGACGCCTTGAAACGGAACAAACGACGCGAAAAACGAACGAAAAACGAGCGGAACGTGACACTCCATCCATTGCACCGTGACGCTCCTGTGACGCTCATTACCCGTGAACTGAGAGCGCGACTTCGATTATTCGCCTACTTCACCCCGGTGCTTGAAACTACTGAAGTTATCTAAGCGCGTAAGCGTTATGCGAGCCGAGATAAAATATTCGAGCGATAAAAGATCCACATATATTATCCACTGAACAATATAATAATAATATAATATAGAATAAGTTCGCCAGCTGGAAGGCATGTTTGTTTTTTAAACTAAAATGATTTCGCGCACGCGGAGTGATCGAGGCTGCGCGATATTCACTGCCAGTACTGAAAATATATAGTTCATGTCACGTATATTATAGACTTTCAGTACTGGCAGTGAATGCTGGAACGCTGCCCGAATTTGTCTCCAATCAATTCAAATTTAGCGATATCAGCTTTGTCAATTTTGTATATTGAATTGTCATCATCGCGATTATTTATCATGGAATTAATTAACGATCAACGAGCCATGGCTTATGAATTCTTTTCATTAAGCTATGATGTATTCAATATTTTCAATATTTTAATATAATTTCAATATTTAATATTCAATTGTATATGCGATACAGTTTAATAAATAAAAAATCATGAAAAAAAAAGCGAGAAAGAGAAAGAATTAATCGACATGCGCGATTCTTTTTACCAAATAATACGAATTTATCAGAAAATTTATATAACGGCGTACATACAACAATACAAATAAATCACGATGTTTAACACGGAAATATAAAAAAAAATAATTATTGCTATATAATATTAATATATATGTCATTATAATTACAATAATTATAATTATTGTACGTTATTATTACCTTGCATCACGCGAGATGGATTTTATAAAGAACAAATGATTGTCGCATCGGGATATCGATACAGCGAAGAAGAAAACGAGGGGGAGATACGCGAGATACGCGAGACGATAGCGAAGGAAGAAGGAAGACTTTTATTTTCTAATCGCGGATCGTCGCGAGCAATCCGTCCGACCTTCGCGGCAGTTGGCAGGAATGTGAGTGTCGGATGCCGCGGCTTGGCGCGCGACTTTCCCACCCCGCCCTCTCTGTTTACATCTCGTCGCGCGCCACGTGTCTAAGCGCCTCGATCGCTTTGTGTACATTTCGCGCGCGCCGCTTGCCCACGACATCAGATGTCCTTTCGACACGAGCGGAACAACCGTGGCGATGGTCGACGACACTCGATCTGTTTTTTTTTTTTTTGTGAGGGGAAAGTCAATCGTGTGTTTGGAAACGAGGTGAAATTTATAAAAATGAGAAAATTTACTAATTTTCGACATGAGTTGCGGATGCTTCAGTGAATTTCTTTCATTTTTGTAATTTTCGCCTCACTTCAAAATACGCAATTGACCCTCCGAAAACTGTGGAAAACTCATATTTTAAAATGAGAAATATTTATTTGAAGTTTGATAGAAGTAAGAAAATTCTAGTGTGCGGTCCAGTGTCAGGAATAGAAGACAAATCTATGATCTTCGATCGACGAATACGTATTCACTTGTGATCGTATTTTGCGATTCTCACAACGTTAGTGCATAGTAATCAATTTATGCAAAGAACTGATGAAACTGAACGACGACGAAGCATCGATTGGTGAGTGAACTTACATCTATCAATTTGATCATTTACATGTATCTTTATTTACGTATATAAGTCGTTAGTCGAAACGCAGTGTAATTAAGCGCTTTTTCTTCTGTGTGCGCAATGTATTCGTAAATGTATATTACAATACTCGTCAAGTTCTTTTGCGAAATATCGAAAACCTAGAAATGCAATATGTCGACATCAGCAAGATCAATTACGGATGAATCTTTGTCGCTTGCAGCGCCTTGCTTCGAAATAGAATTAATCTCAAGCGTGTCAACAAATACACAAGATAGTATCATTGCTATGTTTAATATTTAGATAAAATGTACAAGATAATTTAGATTTTGTACTTTTTTAAATATAAAATATGTTAGAAAGATCTTAAGATATTCAACCGATCTAGAATTTGTTCTTATTAAAACAGTAAAAAGAAAGGACTTAACTCTTCTATTCGAATTTATATCGTTTGGATCGATTAAAAATTTCTACAAATAGAAAAAGAACTAATTTTCACAGAAGAAGGTTTGTAAATAAAATATTAGCAAGAAGATAAAATACTTTCTTAAATTTTGGGTAAATAGATGATCCAAACAGAACAGCAGATTTATGAATAATGAAAATATTTAGTACAAAAAATAAAAAATATTTCTTCACGGAATCGTTTTGGTTTTGATAGGAAAATAAATACACATGAATCGTTTAAATAATAAGGAAAAACTTGCTGTGCAATGCTATACTTTATTATTCTAAGTCCATCGGGGTTTTCGGCCGTGCGATTAATTTAATGAAACGTGCACAGTGCTGAGATAAATCTAATAATCTTCATTTATTTCACAGTAGCAGATTTCACGGTAGTATTCGTAGAAGACCTGCAAAATATATATGCAAAATTAGTCCTCGATATCCATGTTTTTTTAAAGTTTTTCTAGAATCTCACACATATTTTAAACGATCTCTTTAAATGATAAATTACAATAGTTTTATGTATAGATATATGCATGTATGTTTTTAATTCTTAAAATTTTGTCATGGCTTATAAAATATCTAAAGCGAACTTGACTAACGAATTACTTTTATTCAATTTTTAGTCGTAAGAAAAACTTAACGCAAAAAGAAATGGATATCGACATCGTTAATTCTATGCGAAATTTCATTGACGCTGTTGAATATTTTACAAGATCTATATTACGATTATTAATGAAGCAAAAACATAACAGAATTGAGTGAAATATTATTAATGAATCAATCTATCAACATTACGCTTCTTAATTTGAAAAATATCTACCAAATTCTAATTCGATGATGATTGTGGTGGTGATGGTGGTCCCTGTGGTGGTGGTGGTGGTCCCTGTGGTGATGCAGCACGTTTCACTAAAGAACTATCTTGACCCCCCATAAAATGTTGAAGCTGATCGGCTGCTGCTCTCATTGGTCCCATCCATCCCTTAAAATACGAATAATTCAATTGCAAAAATTACCAGTCAAAAAAAATCATGAAAAAACTCGTTTAAATCCATGTTGAAGATTTGAATTAAAATTATCAAATTAATTTTTATATTATAATTTCTCATACAAAATGTCTTTAATTGTACATCTTACTTACTTGATTCATATTATCGGCTGGTGAATCGGCAAACTAAAAAGATAGTTAAATTTTTTATTATGAATATAATCATATTAGATGCTGATATCATAATATTAATAATATTAATCGCGTTGCTTGAAATAACACTGTTGTTTAGCGAGATTCGCGAAAACAATCTAACCTTTTTGAATGACTTCAAAGATAACTTGCAGAAATATTATTTTACGAAAATATATTATTTATATTTGTGCTTTTGATAAGATAAAAATTTCTGTATACATATATATTTTTTTCTCTTCTCTCTTCTTATTGAAAAAGATATAAAATTTTTTTTTAAATATTTAATCAATTATATCTTGGAACAGTTCGGCTTTAATCTTGTTATTAAAATGCGAGTTCATATATTTAATTTATAATATCCATATTAACGTAATCCGCGTAATTTACACATCCGTTCTGCGACTATAAATGAGCTATTATCGGCTTCTTACCACCGCCACGCAGAGCAACGTAACGAGAAACAGCTTAATCATCATGGTTGGCTCGATGTACAAACATACACTGGTCGGATCAACGCGGGCATTCGTCGCTTTTATACAGATCCCATAATTTGTGTAACACATGTTTACACGTCGCAATTCGCGGAAAAAAATAGCAGATTGACACGTACCATCACGACATAGCACGATTACCGATGATTATCGCGACTCTTGTTTTCGCGATTCGCGATCCGATTTGTTGCGCGAAACTTGTCAAGTTGAGCAGTAGTGCAATTATAACGTCTCGCTTCTGTGACATTGTGCATATTTTTTACGATAAAATTATGAATCGTTAGATCTTGTCGCTCGCGATTTGATGTGTTTCTTCATTATCGCTCATCATTTCCGCCTACCGGAAATATATGACAAATATATGATACTTGGTAATGTTCTTTTCGTCATATATGCGTTACGCGTTTAGCTCTGTTAATTAATTATTTCAACAAGTATTTGGATTGTACATGATTAAATATTGTTTTTTTTTTTTCCAAAGTTAAATATTCTACAATTTTTTCTGAATTTCGGTATTAGATTTTTTTTAGTTATTTTATTTTAGCTTTGATGATATCTTTACTTTTAATGAGTGTCACTTGTAAAGCATTGCGTTTCGTAACATAACACATAATCCAAGGTCGTGCAATTCCAGCGTGACTTATGGTGATTGTGATATAAGCGATATAAATGAGTTAATTATAATTATTGCAAATGAGTAATTATAAGAATAGCGCTACTTAAAACATTTCGCATACGTGTAACTTCCCGAACACGATACATTGTCGTATTTCAATACATTAAGCGTATTAAAAATCTTAAGAGATTCATTAAAACATCATTGAGACTGCTGGAAAGTATCGGGAAGGAGCTTATAATAAGAATTTATTAATAAATTAATTCCTCACGTATCATACAAGACGTATTCCAATTCATCTCGCGCAAAAAAGAAAAATACATAGATACATAGTCTTCTTGTAACCTGCTAGCTTGATTTACGCAAGTCCGGATTTATACGGACGGAGATATAAATCGAGAATCGATAGTCCACACCGCTAATCCACGACCACGTCTACGGCGACATAATTAATTTATCTGCGCGAATCGTAAAAAAGACAGATGACACCTGCTCGTGATGTGGTATTACCGTTAACCAGCTCGAGCGGGCATTTGCATTTTACGGGTGACGTTTCGCGAAAGAAAGCCCGATGCGAAGATAGCGCGGATAAAGCAATCAGACGAATATTTAACGAATGCCCGGCCCGGCATACGGTGAAAATCTCGGGGCACGACGCCTCGACCAATTACGGTGAATAACTATTCATATCGGCGCGAATAATCTGCGTTTCTCATACGCGATGGATACGCTCAGGATCGTCCTCTGTTACGTGACGTCATCGCATACGCGCGCGCGCGCGCGCGCGTATCGTTTTGTCTGCGATATTTATTGCGACAGACACTCGCTTTTCTCTCCTGCTTCTGCTTCTGTTTCATATTCGGTCAGTTGAAAAATGCTCATCGAAGAGTGAATAAAGCCGAATTACTCGTAATACAAAGTCAAACTAAAACTGCGAAATCTCATAAAGAGTTACGATAATTTGTGTTCGAATATTAAGATTATAATAATTATTGAGAAGTCTTACTTCTCATTAGTTTGATCAAGTTACTGAAATCACTGAATTATCTGTCAGTTTTTAATTTAATTGGTTTCTTTATCTTTCTGTGACTTAATAAAGTGGTGATTTTTTTTTTTATTTGAACTTTATGAAAGTGACAATTCACGTTCGAAGTCATTTCAAGAAAAGGTCAAATGCGGTTATTAAATGGTTTATGAGAAAACGCATCGTTCGGTAGCGTCAGCTGTCGTGATTATCGAACGATCAAATTAAGCCAATCTCATAAAATTTAATTTTCAGCGTCGTCAAAAAAATATCGATCCGTGAAGTAACAGGAAGAACAATTCCGCAGTGCCGATATAGCCCTCCGAGGATTACGTTAATTCGATGAGCACGGGCCGCAGTTCAGATAGAGTAGAGAGAGGATTTTATATACGAGAGGAAAGAAAAGGGTATTAAAGCGGGGATTTATTACGTCGGCGGTAGAAATGCATTAAATTATATCCAAGCACTCATTTCGCATTTAATACAGCGGTAATATTTTATACGGGTGTAATTACTCGTAACTGTCTTGCCGGATATTTTCCTAGATACACGTGACCGAAAGTAGCAATTAAAAAAGCGCGGACCTGTGCATCGCGGTGGCCACTAATGACGTCGTTCCGCATTTACAGTTATCGCAGAGCAGTGCAAATGTGAGGGATAACCGGGGAGAACGGAAAGTAATTTATTAATGTACCACGGCGCGCGCGTGCGAGCCGTATGATCCGACTAATTAATTCATTTCTACGTCTATTCTAAACGATACTTACAAACGCCACGAGCGCTTGGAGAGATTTTGTATCGCGTAATTAATGCTAAGAAAGGATGTTTTGAGTAAATATTAATTTTCTATAGCTATTGAATATGTACTCTATCTCGTATGATAAACATATTTCGTTAAGAATAATTATCTCTTTGTCCATTAAAACTTATTTTAATTTTAATAATAATAATAATAATAATAATAATATTTAAAAGAATGCACAATTTTTCTTATTTAAAATTGTATTATTTGACGAGGTTTTCGGTGAGAGAATCATTATTTTTGTACAAATGAAAATACAACGAAATGTACGATGAAAGTAACTCTAAGTTGCGAAAGAGGACGATAAGAAAAGAAAGGCTGAGAAGGTGGCACGATAGTGGCGGCTGCGTCGATGTCGCCGACGTTGGCTCTCTCGATTGCGAGACGATCTCCGTTCTCGTAGCTCCGGTCGCTCTGGACCGAGATTGCGAAGCTGCGCGAAGCGACGAGAGGGCACACGGCGAGAGGCGCGGGAACGACGCGATGGTGCCCTCGCGCTCGGTTTTTCAAACGTGCCTCGGGAGGACTGGGGGGGCCTGATTGCGCGGGATTCTCGCTTTGAAGTGGCACCGCCAATGTTCTCGGGCCGTCTCGACTCGTTACCGCTACGGGATCCAGCACTCTCTTTCTCTTTCTTTTTTTCTTTCTCTCTTTTTCTCTTTCCCTTTCACCTTTTCTGCGACTCCCGATTGTATCTCCCAGAATCGGTCGAATTCTGAATTGTATTTTCCCGGCGTCCCGGCGATATACATCTAAAAGAAAAAGAAAAAGAAAAAAAGAAAGAAATCGCAAATCTAAAATTTGGTTTAATAAAAGTGTGATATTGTGAAAATCTTTATCGATCTTGAATTAATTTGTAATATCAAAAATCAAGGTAGCGCAAATATCGCACGGCGTTGTAATGCAAACAGGTCTCGAGCTCTTAATTAGCGCCGCCACTTTTCACTTTCTCGCCCCGTCGTCGTGACCAAGGACAAAAAGCCGAAGTGGCCGGAGCTCTAATCTCTGGTACCATGGGATACCCGACGCGAAGTAGAAGCCTCGGCACTTTTTATCATTCTCTTAAGGGACAATTAATTATTGAAGCTCACATTGTTTGATTTCTAAATTCTCAGTTCGAATTGATCTTGATGCAAAAGATCGCGATTGGAATTTTGCATGAACAAATAAAAAATCACAGTACTCTTGTTTCAAATTTAATTTTTTTGGACTTTTTTAAATGTGGGAACTGGCTAGAAATTAATTAATAATTGTCAAAAAACTGACTTGTCTAGAAATTCGCTAAATTTACTGTTTAATTGTTATTCAAACAAGCATCACCGAAATTAAATCAAAATCTAATGACTAAAATTTCTGATTAGTTTTCTTTTAGTTAAGAAAAAAAAAGTGATTTTTAATTTATTACTTATGCTATTTTTTGAAAATAAAAGTTATCTTAATTGACACGAACAATAAATAAAAGTTATCTTGATTGACACGAACGTCGCAAAACAATACAAAAATTGTCAAGAATGTTATATAAGATCAGATAGAGAAATTTTTCAGTGAGATAAAAATCTAAATTCTTTTTAATTTTCGTAAGATTTGTTTACGTTATGCTCATAAAAGAGGGTGCGAAGGTGTATCATCTCGCGCACGTGCGCTTTCTTATTTACTTGCACCTATGTATACACATCACGCACATCACGTACACATTTAAGCTCATACTTACACCATGATATTATGGAATCCGCGAGTGCTGTCGAGGAACGACGCAAGAAGATAACGCGCCCTTCGAACATTTCGGATTCCAGTCGTACCAAAGAATAAACCCCCGACCGTCTCATCCCTTTCTCCCCTGTTTTTCTCTCCTCAATCCCATCGTTTCCCTTTATCTCTCTCGTCCTCACTGCCTTTGAGCTTCTTGACTCGCCAGATAATTATGTTCCCGGCCCTTATTCCTCGACTTCGAATCTCTCCATAAACGTATCGACCTCGCCCCCTTCCTCCAACTCCATTATCTTTTCCCTCGCAGATTCTTCGTCTCCTGTACATCTACTTCATGTCTCATCACAAGATCATTCAATGGCACTTCTCTGATTGTGCGTCTGTCATGATTCTTGCACTTTTTTGCTCTAGATCAAGAGAGTCTGGTTTCGGAAAATTGCGCGGTGACAAACTCGATGAAGAATGTAATTTATGACTTAAAAAAAAATTGATATTTTCCAACAAGAAAATTTCAATAATAATTGAAAGTTTAACGTTTCGTCACATTTATCAAATAGAGAATTTCGTATACGAAATTATCTAATATTCGTATAGGAAACTTTGTTCCGCCATTTGAGGATTGCGATACGACAAATTTCCAGATTCTTCGCGGAACGCGTAGAGTTGCTGGGTGGACCAATGTGAGAGCGAGCAATTACATCGAGGAACAATTACAGGTTGGCACGTCCTCGCGGTTGGTTCACCATCGCGGCTTTTTCTGTGCCCTGAGATTCCGACGACGAAGAACGCCTTACGAGGGAAGTTCCTTTCACGGTATGAGACAGCGAGAAGTAGAAACGCAGCGGAGAGGAGAAAGAGAGATGGGCTCTTCTTGAATTAAATCCGATCCGACATCTCGAAAGCTGAAACATAACAATTAACTGCGCTGTAATTTGTCT